CAGCTCTCCAGTTGGGCGAGATTTCGAATTCGAAGGCCGGTGTTAGGTAGGATGGCCTTTATGTCTGCTTAAAAGCTAATGTGTGTAAGTTTAACTGAACATTGTAGAATTTTGTATAGTGTGTACTCATAGTTTTTTTTTTCTTACCCTATTATTATCAATAATATTTTGAGAACATCTTCACCCAGCGGGTATGCAAGATGAGTCAACAATGGAATGAGATTGTTCATTAAACTCAAACTAGAACAGTTGAATTAATCTCCAAAATAATAACTTTGGAATTTTAAATTTACCGTTTTTTCCGTAACCATCTAGCGCATGATAAGGGTTCATTATACTAAATTGTATTTTTTAAGATCTGAATAATGGCTTACAAAGAAATTGCAAAATTTCATATTTTGAGGATAAATCGGAAAACCAATTTTTACCCCATAAAACCCTCTAGAACGTTTTCCATAATACATGTGTATAGGGGTAGGCTTACAATTAAACAAGGCTTTGGAGTGCAAAACATTAAAACTAACTAATGGTACTCAGTTTGTTTGCTGTTTTGTCTGAAGAAAACATACTCCTAATTCGTTAAATTAATACTGATTATAACTGATTGTTTCTTAGAATGATTAATGAGTTTTACATTTTGCTATTCAATACAAGCTAAACAGGTAGGAATCTGGTAGGCATCAATCATGTAAAGCGGGGCTTTGAGAGCCCCTCCCCCCCCGAAAAAAAGTAATAGGAAGTTGTCGTAAATTAACTAAATATCTTTGAAAATAGGCGCGTGCATAATTCTATATGCAGTTTCATCATGGAAATTACATTAAAACCCCAACAAGTGAAAATTTTTTTCAATTATCCTCTTGTTATACTTATGTTATAGTCCTTAAAGGTTTGAACGTTTATTTTTCATTTTTTGAAATTTAGATTTTTAATGGGGGTTTTCCTATAAAACCCCAGAAAATAACAGAAAAATCGGATTTTCTCGAAAATGGCCTAAACGATTTTCTTAAAAATTGAGTATGTTATAGTCCTTTAGCTTCTAAACAAAATGGTACTAATCCCATTTCCGTAAAAATTACGGTTCAAAAGTTATTGTAACTTATGTTATTTTCCAATAAAAACCCATATAACAACAAAAAAATTGGATTTTTGGAGAAAATCTGGTTTTGATCAAAATTAATGGTCCTTATAATTCTAAAAAAATAGTACAACACTCCATTGCTGTAACAATTAAATTTCAAAAGTTATTGCAACTTTTTCTCACCGCTTAACCACGATAAAGGTTGTTGACGAGCTTATGGGAGAAAGTATGTGTCAGAATGCTGATTCCGTTTATTACCCTAGTTTCAATTTTGTTGATTTGGTAAGTGCAAAAGCGTTACTAATAATGAAAATACAAATTACTACATACAAGTGTTGTGGAGAAAATTTGTGCTTTTACTTAGTCGTTAACACGATAACTTGAGTAATTTTGGTCCGATTTTGATGAAATTTTTCTTGAATGTGTAGGGCTGGATACACTTGAATGAGTTTGCGAACCACTAAGATTGTGTCATGGAAACTGAGTTTTATAGAGTTTTAAAATTTTTCAAAATTTGGTCTCTTCAAATGTTTACACTTGAACCAAGGAAATGACCATTTTTAATCGAAACCATAATATTGAGCTAAAAAACAAATATTTTTTTACATTGGTGCGCTGTTGTAAAATTAAAAAATACGAAGAAAAATCCAATAAAAAACTAAGTGTTTAAAATTCCTATGTTATTTTTATTGGTAAAATGTAAACTGTTTAGTTTTTTTATGGAAATTTGTTGATAATATTTGGAAAATCTATTTATTTCATCCTATAATATTAACATTATATAAAAACAAACACTTTTTTTCACCTCTATAGCATAAATATTACTTGTTTATGGAAATATTTTATTAAAATTCCAATCAGAATAATTTATTGAAATCCACTTAGTCTGCATGTTTAGTGCGTCGGGGTATTTTATTTATAAACAACAAATCTGTTAGAACTTGCCTTAGCCATTGGGCGATCCAACAAATTGCAGGATTTGCTGTGAGAGTCAACACTAATTACCAAAATTGCGTAGTACAAATATCTAAAGGGACGTTCTGGTCTGATAGCCGCTATAGATTGTCTCGACCTCGACCGCGATTAAGTCATACGCGTGCGCCAAGTTCAAGAATACCATTGGCGATGGATGCGCAGCGAAAGTGGCAAGTCAGTGTCGGTGACCTATATTGCGCAAGTCTGTTCCACGCGCAACTCCCCTCCACGCGTGTTAACCTGGGTTTTACCGACTTCTGAATTTCATTCGTTTTTGAGTGAAGAACCTCCGAAGACCTTGCATTCTGCGCCTCCTCCACGTGTGCAGACCCAGGTGAATACCCTCATCCAGTATTGGTCAAAGTGCAGACCTTCTGGTCTGGGGGTTCAGGTTCAAGTCCCACCAATCACCAATGGATTTGGGCTATGTAATGGCAAGATCCGGTACTTTCGGGTTGACATTAGACCCAACTAACTAGAAAACGAAAAGAAATTATCAAACTTTATCTCTTTTTGAGAACTTATTCTACCCTCAGTCCAGGCCTTTTTACAGTTACAGCAGATGTTATATGAACCGACAGTGGAAGCATTGATGAGAAAAATGCCCCCGCAGCAGCAAACCTGTAGGCTACGAAAATTTACATTTGTCTGGTTGGATTTTGAATAAAACATTTCCTTGAACATGTCAGATTTATACTTTTTTTAAATAAATTAAGGTTAAATGAATACTTAGGTGTGCCGCTACAGGAAGGAAAAAAGTATTTTTTTTATAAAACGTTGATAACATAGTATGATATAAATACATTTAATCAAACTATATATATATCAATAAGCAAAAAATACAACAGTTTTTCTCTTCAATGTTTTCTCTAAAGGACATTTTAAAAGCACGTTTTTTTAATTTTTGCCGTAACCTTTAATTTTGTACAACGATGCTTAAATATAAATTTTGTAGGATTACGATACAGTTAAATCCCCTGCAAAATCCGTGTCTATTCGCAGACAACTTAGATCACAATGTATATTTTAGAACTTCTTAAGGCACTATTTAGAGGCACTATAAAACTACAAATCACCGTTGGAGGGATAAACAGTTTCACTGATAAAGCCATACATTTCCATACACTCAAACATTGTAGAAGAACGGTGACCCTACATTTGCTCAGAATCTGTTTCGTCAAATCTGAAATGCAAAATTGTATACGTTCACCGTGTTGAGGTGTATTTTTCAGTACATCTTATTTTGAAGTAAATTTATTGATCATTGGTAATTTTGTATAGGTTATTTTAAATAACAAACAAGACACCAACACTTTGAAGCCTAAATATACTTTTCCTACAGTTACCTGACAAAGTGGGCTTCCTTGCACTGATTATAGCACTCAAAGTAGCTAATTGCTGGATTTACTTTCTTTTGCTCACTCATTTTTTACTACACTCCAGTATTTTAACCAAACAACACAAAACAGTGTACTTTTATTAGGCACGTAATACGTGTACGCTTGAAAATAAGTTGAGAACACTTAAATATACTACGACTACGATCAGCTGGTATGCAGCTCTTCCCATTTCGTCACACGCTTGGATTTAATCTAACCTAAAAACGTGTTGTATAGTGTTTGAAATACTAATTATCTATATTATTTATAGTAACTGTAGGAAAAATATAATGTGTATGCAAGTGCAAAGTGCCACTTCGCACACTATTTATACAAATAAATATTTCTAAACTAATATCATCAGCCCAAATATGTTATGCCAGAAAAATAAGAGGCTATTTTGTTTACTGTACCACAACCTGTGAGCGGTTCATTCTGCTATGTTCTATGAGAATTTTGCCACAGCAGGATCATATAGATGGGCTGTCTATCAAAGTTTATATCATATACTATACTATTAGACAAAATGACAATGTTTTTTGTATCATCCTTTGCAATAGGATGAATTGCAAAGGATTGTTCGAATTTTTAATGAACCAATCAGAAATTAAAAAAGACAACATGTTCAAAATCCTTAAACGTGGAGTAAGCCTGCATTAATATTTTTTCCCCCTACGTAATCTCATAGCAAAATGTTTTTTTCTCATTTATAAATTTGTTTAATGACAATTTTTTTTCAGCATAAAAAATCACGAGTTTGAAAATTTTTCCAAATTTAAAATAAACGCCAAAACTTCATTAAACTTTCATACAACATAGAGACATATATTAAAAATTAATTTATATGCTTTAACGAATTTTTACCTCACCCAAAAGTTGTTGTTAATTCCGTAATTGTCTTTTGAGAAAAACTGAAAACACAAATAAATCTTAAAGCTTGTTTTAAAGGTAATAATAGTAATTTTATTTAAGTGAAAAATTTACAACAGCTGGTTTACAGAAATCCCCATACACTGGCATGAATCATTTTATATTTAAATTATAACTTTAGAATATTTATTATTAATTTGTTGTGGTGTATATGTATTATTTAATCAGTTGTTTCCCCTTCAAGATTGGTTTCAAAACACAACAACACTTAAAACCATTAAACATAGCTTTCTAAACATTATCTTGAACTCAAGTATATATCTTACAGCATAATAATATACTATATAATTTTAGTTATCATCGCACACCTAGGTGCGTGTTTATACTGAATTTTAATGCAATGCGAGTGTAAAATTGAGTAATATTATCTACTTAGCGTAGAGTGACTAAGGTCAGCTATTTATTGAACCAGGACCATTTATTTAAAGCCAGATCAAGGGCAGCTGGGTCCAGTTTCGAACCATCAAAAATCTATTGACTCAGGATCGAACCGGTAACTTTTTGACTGTCAGGCAAGCACTAATCAGCTACCTACTTTGTTCTGTGTCTACTTGTTATCAATGACAGTAAGTGAGAGACTAGTGGCATGGAGGGGGGTCCAGAGTGAGCCAGTGAGTCACACGCTATCAGTTCTTCAGTCTATCAGTCTATCAGTAGGACGATGGGGTCGCGATGGTGCTTGTTGGTGGCGGTTCTATGCCTCAATGGAAGTTTAGCGCAAAACTCGTCCACCACATACAGTAAGTTACTGATTTAATTTTTCAATTAAAATATATTATGGGCTATCGTGATTTTCTTTACTGTTGGTGGGTTCGAGCTTTTTGAAATTATTTTTAGTTTTATTTAGCGCAAAAATCGTCCACCTCATACAGTAAGTTCCCAGGTTTATTTGTTTAATTAAAATATATTACGGACTATGCGTGATTTAGCACACGAAAATGTGGTCTCAACTGGGAACTAGTGGGCTCAAGCTTTTCAAAAGTATTTTTATTTTATGCAAAAATAGTTTTTTCTTTGTTTTAAAATAATTTTTGCATGAATAGATTCCCTTAAAATGAAATGTCTTCTAAGAACGTACAGCGAGTTCAGGCCTTCCAAAAATGGTTTTAGTTTTACTAATTAAATATATAGATACTGGCAGATATTTCTAATATATCGAATATTTTTAATATGGAGATAGTGAAATTCGTCAACCAGTTCATGTTGCAACAGCTGTTTAATATTTACAAATAAAATTATTAACTATACCCCTTTCTGAATGTGTGATAGACATAACGGAAAGTTAAGCTTTATTCGCAATCATGTTGCAACAAAATCTTTTTTTTTTTATTAATCGGAAATAGAGGCTACTAACCTTTCATTATTACAATGGCATAAATACTACTGCAGTTTCGGAACAATAAAGTTCCATAATCAGGTAGCATTTCAGAATTTATTTGAGTTTTATATATATATATATATTTACGATTCCGATAAGTATTGTTGAGGAGTTTGCAGTTTTTAAATTTACAACCCGAAAATAAGGATTATGTCGGTGTTGGCAAATCATGCCGACTTTGATGAAGGGAACTATAACATAGAGAACATCATTGGGTGACTTGGAAGGCCGGAGGAAAGGATGTCGTTGAACTTATGTTTAGGCACAAGGTGTTTATAAACATCAATGCTATTTAGAAAAAAGATGAATACAGAATCTTTGCATGATTAATTTGGCACATTTATGTTAAGCACAGAACATATGACCATGATTAAATTGATTGAATTGATTGAATTGGGTGACTTGAAAGGTCGGAAGGATCTTTTATCCTATTAGTATTACATAGGTAAGATGTGCAGTTATTATTATTACGAGCTGTTGGCCCGTCCTACGTACGGGAATCGAGTAGTCCATTCAAACTGTATATAGTGTGTCTATTACTAATTTAAGCATAGTTTAAGTAGTTCAAAATTCATAGTAAAGAAAAATCTGCCAAGATGAAGTAAAACATGTGATCATTGTTATTTTCCTAACATTTGCTCAAAAAGTCGAGTAGCAAAATCATTTTCATAAGCTTTTGAAGATTCGTGAGCTTCGATTCGTATACAGCAATGGTTATAGAATCTTACTTATTTCCTATAATCAATGACAAAATCACAGAGTAAATAAACTAACCTCATAGTTCTATGGAATATTCTTTTATTCAACCAGCTGTTAGTTATAACCTAGGAGGATTAAACATTAGTTATAACAAATTTGCACTAAAACAAACTAAATATTTTGAAGACTGATCGAAAAATAAATTAGAACATCTGGTATTTTACAATGTATATTTAAATAAACTCCCTAGTTCTCAAACTTATCTTTCTTTCAACAAAAAAATCATGAAAATCCGTCAAGTGGTTGATTCAGAATCGTGAAATAAAAAAGCCCTTTCACGTTTTTATATATATGATTACATCAACAGTTACCGTAGCATCATAAGTTGTGGTTATCTCTTGAAATTGAAATTCGATAACGCACTGTCTTTTACCAATTCACATATTCCGTATATACAATAGTCTTCAATTGTAGCTTTAAAAACGTAAGGTATAAATCCTTTTGTCTGTTTAGGTGGACTTATTTTGGTTTGCCTGCCAAAGAGAGTATTTTCAAAATGTTGCCTTAAAACCCAAAGTTTAAAATAAAAGGTCTAAAAAATGATATTGGAGGTTACCTTTTGGAGTTTAGGGATCGGATTACTGGAGTGTCAACAAATTCTGATAACGTTCGCAGAACAATCATTAAAAATTAGCGGTGTAAAAATAAAATAAAAAATAACGCATTTTATTAAACTTAAATATTTTAAAATTAAAATCATTAACAGCTGGATAAAAAACCTTTTTTAAAGAAACAACAGTTGACTAATAAGCAATACAAATAACTAAAAAATAGTCTAATTATTAGTTAGGTATTTCGTTTGAATAAGTAGAGGTAGATTTACAAAATACCTACTATTTGGTAAAAATATATAAGGCCCTACCTACTTTAAGGGTTAGTAGGTATTAAAGTAAAGCCCCGTATATATTAACAAATTACTAGAGATATAATTTAAAAAATGAAATGAACAAAAGATAAACATCGAAAATCAACCAATAATACTCCTACAAATTTGCACAGTATTCACAAATGAAGTGTACTTAACTTAATTTAATCAACAGGCTATTGATATAAACATAGTTTAAAATGATCAATATCGGTTACATTTCTGAATTAATTTCTTTAAGTATCGATTTTAAGACTGACCGAAATAGCCACTGTTCAAGGTTCTTGACTACCAATCCAAGTCACAGACATCGATAGTATGTTTTCTATAACTGGTTTGACCCTTGTCAAAAATATGATCGCTACGCTTAATTTGTGTATCCCTCAGGCCTAATGTTGATGTAGGAAACGTATATATTAATAAAAAATACTTACTAGCTACTACTACTACTTACTACTTACTAACTTACGAAACAATATTGTTTTTTCATAAAAAAAATTCTTTAATTACTAATATTTTTACGTTCAAAGTGTGGTCCACCGAAGACGAGGCTCTGCCCCTATCAGAGTTTCCTTTTGTAAAATCAATAAATAAGTTTAAAGAACATAACAATTTTTGTCACTAAACAAACATTGATTTCTTACTGATCGATAATCTGTGCTGTCGCTACATTACTGTGCATTGCCCATAAGAAAACCGGTTGGATAACATGTTTGTCCATCGTAATGTATTTACCAAAAAACAAACTAGCTATAGAGTTGAGATTGAGATAACAACGCCCATTGTGTCAAAATAAACATTCCTCGACAAATTGTCGACTTCCGAAGTAGTGTAGCGAAGGAGTTCCGCGGCTACAAGGACACCGGTCAGTGGTCAGCGGTCAACGCAGGTCAAAGAGATGTAATATCCTAGAACCAGTTAAAGGTAAGATCTGCGAAGCTGCCACAGATCAGGTAACCTGCCCAAGATGCAATATTAGGAAAACGTTAAGTTGTTTGATATCAGTGAACGTACCAAAGAGATTGTATATTGGGGAAACCTGTCAAATAGAGTATCATACAATCCGTCAAAGATATTATACAGTGCGTAAATTAAGTATTGAACAAATCAGTTTTTTTTTTAAACATAAATAGATAGACATTTTCTGTTTATGGCAATAATTGTTAACAAAGCTTCCGCGATTTTTTACACCAAAAATATTTTTTACCCCCCCCTAACAGCGTAGGGGGTAGGGGGTGACTTTTTTCAAACAGCAACCCCTATTGAGTGACCCCTCATTTTGAAGGGTTTGTCAAAAGAAATACAATGTAGCAAATCCGAGGTGAATATCTCACCCCTAGCCAAAATGGTGGTCATTCCAAAATGGGTGCTTTTTCACATAAATTAAATTTTGGAATACCCGCCATTTAAACTAGAGCTGAAATATCTACCTCAGGTTTGCGTCATTGTTTTTCTTTTAATAAACCTTTTAAAATGAGGGGTCACTCAATAGGGGTTGTTATTTAAAAATAGGTCACCCCCACCCATACCTTGTTAAAGGGGTTGAAAACATATTTTTTATGTAAAAAATTGCGGAACCTATGTTAACAATCAATTCCACAAACAGAATATTTCTATCTATTTCGGTTTCAAAAATACATATTTGTTTCCATTATTTGTGAAATTGGTGCTTTTTCACATACAATAAATCAAATTTTGGAATACCTGCCATTTTTGTTAGGGGTGAGATATCCACATCGGATTTGCGTCATTGTGTTTCTTTTGACAAATCCTTCAAAATGAGGGGTTCATTCAATAGGGGTTCCTATTTGAAAAAATAAGTCACCCCCTACCCCCTATCCTGTTAGGGGGGTTAAAAAATATTTTCGATGTAAACAATTGCAGAACCTTTGTTAACAATTTTTGCCACAAACAGAATATTTCTATCTATTTCGGTTTTAAAAATACAAATTTGTTTCAATGCTTAATTTACACACTGTATATCTAAAGGAAACCTATTATCAAACATATGCAATATGAGGAAACATGTGAAAGGTGTTCCAATTTTCCACGAGGGAGGACCCTATATTGGCAAGTCTTCTATAAGGGTATGTGTTTTCTAAATTTAATCCTGCATGCCTAAAAAACAAGCATGGTGTGCAATATGGGAAAACCCGTCTAAGAGATCAATAGCGCAGTCACCATATTTCAAGTTTCGTGTTTTTTTTTTTCAGTTTCAATATATAACCTTTCCGGTTGAAACTAATTGATCACCATCGAAGGAATGCTATTTAAAACCCATCAAATTGAATTAGTATTACTTTGAAACTCAATAAGGATCAGGTAGAATTTTTATGTTCAGCTATAAAGATACCTAAAAGAATTACCTTCCGATTTTAGCCACTTAAGGTCAAGTTTCCTCACGAAGTGTCATTTACCTTAGGTTATTCCTGGATATTAATTGTTTTCCAATTAACATAAGTAGTTAATCAAACTACAAAAGGCCACAGGGGCTGGAACACTGTTTGGTTGGTAATTCGAAATTTTAATCCAAAACATTTTACGTTGGTAAAATTTTGTCTCTATTTTCCTCCAAATAGTTTTAGTTTAACCATTGAACAAAAAAGAAAATTGTAAAAATGTGTAAAAAATGTAAAATGTAAAAATGTAAAAAATGTGTAAGGGGTTTTTGAAGGTTCCGGGGCAGACTGTAAAAGAACCAAGTAAATAACAGTTGGAACTTGGTCATAAAATATTTT